TCGTTCGTCGAGAAAACGAACACGATACGACGATTTGAATTTTCCACGAGCTGGCGTACGCTCGTGTAAAAGTGTAATTTGAGCGTGGAAGATTAAACGAGGCCTCGCCGACGAAAGCAGTTTCCCACTTATCGGCCGATTCACTTTCGATCGGCAGCTCGCAAACGCGTGTCGCAAATCTTTGCAATTGCCCTCAAGAAAGTAAGTGGAAAGCAGCGAGATTTATATTCTACTTTGATGTTCCCAGCAAACTTGTTGAACCTGATCTTGAATCTGGTTTACGTTCACGTTCGTGTATATGGAGCGACGTATGGAGAACGATCGAAGAATAATTTGAGCTACTTTTCCGGAACAATAAATAATAACGAACGGGTGATCGAAACCGGACGAGGCCGATGGAAGAGAAATATAGAAAAATAGATTTTGCCGCTTTTCTTCTTCTTCTTCTTCTTCTTCTTTCCTTCGTATAAATAACATAACTTCTCACGATACTCCCCTTCCCGACGACGAGCAACTCTTCGTTTCGATAAATAACGCGATATTCCTCTGTTTTTCTTTATCCATCGAACAACCATTAGACAATTATCATTTTTCCCGCTGTGGAGAACGGTTCTATCCTCGAAACGATCGATCGGAATGACTTTATAAAGCCTGTTCAAAAAGGGGAAATTGAGCGTGAAAAGGTAGCAAAAAGACGCGCGGCATTGTCCATTGCGCAAAGGCCGACGAGACGGCCACGGGGTTCTCCACTTCATCCATCCATCCATCCTTTTCTTCCGTTCCATTTTCTCTCCGTCAAACGTTCCAAACTCGTTTCTTTCGTCGTCCATTTTATCCTGGAAAACGATCGATTAACGATCGTTTACCGCGTGACAACTTGTTGCGAACGTAATTTTTTCTTTCTTTTTTTTCCCCCCCTCCCCCAAGATTCAGATTTGAAAGGTGATCGGAGAGAAATTTTCTTTTCATCTTCTCGATTCACTTTCGGATCCGGAAAAGAGCGGTTACGAAGGGGACACGATATCGAATGGAATGGAATCTAGGGACGATGTTTTCGTGGCTGATTTATCTCTCTATAATCGACGTAGTCGAATATAGAATTTTTCTTTCTTCTCTTTTTTTCCATTGCCTCCACTTTCGATCACGTGCTCGGCCTTCCAAGCCGGTAGTCTCTTTTGGGTCGCTCTGTACGACAACGTGTGCACGGTGCTGCTGGCATTGAGTTGTAGTCGTAGTAGAATAGAGCAACTAACCAACTAACCACGAGACGTCAGTAGGACAGTGAAAGGCGACCTAGACCAAGTCTCTCCGGCGGCGCAACGCTGCTGGAACTTGACGAAGGAACGCCGATGTTTTCGTGCACGTGTATACGTATACGTGAGCCTCGCTGCTCGCCCAAGTGTTCGTGTATTGCATCTCCGGAGGCGAGCCGATCTTTCTGACCCGATCAACGGGAAATTGGGACAAGTTGCGACAATTGTCCACTCGCAACGACCTCCAACATCCACTGGAACGTGCACTTGTTTCGCATCTGCGAATCTACACCGTGTTTATTATTATTATTATTATTATTATTGTTATTATTATTACTATCATTATCATTAGAGAGGATGAGTTTACATAATTCATCGAGGGACGAATTTATTGGGGGCAAACGATCGTTCTTGTTAGTTGGTCGGATCGCCAGATGCTCGTTTTTATAGAGGGTTAAGGACGAGTCTCTCTCTCTCTCTCTCTCTCTCTCTCTCTCTCTCTATGTACGAGTCGAATGGACAAACGATGAAAGTGTGTATATATATATATATATATATTGGAAGATGGATAATCGAATAATATATAAATAATAAGTAAGCTTTCGTCGCGGCGAGGCAAGCACGTGGGCTCCCAGCAACAACTCTTACGAGATATTTGAGTCCTCCATTCAAGCCTACGGCAACATACCACGGCAATTTATTACCGGAAATTTCTTTTCTCGTTGCATCATACCTGGTTCCACGGGAGTCGTACCCAAATCCCTCTGAACGAAATCTCACGATGAGAGAGAGTACGAGAGGAGGTATTGATTGGTGGAGGATTGGCCGCGCGAGAAATGGAATCCTCGGAATTTTTTATCCCTTTTCCCCCAGAGGGGAAGAAAGGACACGGGTTATCGATCGAACGGTGCCGTTACGCGCAAACGGTTTCACAAGTTTCCATAGATCTTTTTTCTTTTTTTTTTTTTTTTTTTTTTCCATCACCTCGATCGTTCCATCGTTCCTCGATAAATCTTTTCGAACGAGGTAGAGAGTCGAAGAGAGCGAGCGAATAGCAGAATCCTAAAATTATCCCCGATTCTACCGGTGCCGCTGATAAACAAACCGTTTTTCGTTTAAAATAACACGTCCCGAATGGAACGTTCTCTTCGTGTTATCCACGATACGGCTTGCGCGTGGATAAATATTCATAAGTCTCGATTCCTCGAGAAAAAGTTGGACGAAGAATCGGGGAGGATGGAAAAAATCGGTGGTTTTCGATCGAATCGGATGGAGGAATTTTCGGGAGGCGTGGAAAAAAAGGATTTATGATTTAGGATTTAGGATTTAGGAAGGGAAATGGGGCGAGCGTTGAGAAGGTTTGGGTGCGGAGAAGGTGAGAGGACATCTGGTCCCCCTATTGGAAGGAGGGCGCCCTTTCGATTTCGTTCCGATCCGAGTCGTGGATGCCCTCCTTAAACGAGGGAAAGTTTGATCGGTTAATCGAAACTGATGTCGATCCACGGCACGGGATTCAAATTTTCCTTTATATTTTCCAATCTAAGCAAATAAATCTCGCTTTGGAACGCGAGATTTTTACTTTATATATAGCAGAAGATAGAAGGATTTCTCTTCCTCATGCTTGCTTAAAATTTTAATGACTCAAGCCATCAAAGTTTATGTCGATTTGTCACGAATGGATTCCTCGCTAGATATTGTTCTCGTCCATACGTTGGGAACGTATAACAGGGTTCAAAGATCGAGGCAATCTCGGCCGGGGAATTAACGACGGAGGATTTTAGAAGGAGATTAAAGAGACAATCCCAACGAGGAACCCGTACGAAGGCCTCGTTCCTGGAACGCGTTAACCTGTTCCGGAAACAGGTCCACGTCAAAACAAACGTTAATGACAATAATTAAACTTTTTTTTATTTCCATCGAACAGCGGTCGCCGAGCTTAAAGAAACGCGTGATTTATCGTTCGACCACTTCCTGCATGGGATTAGACGTCAAGGTTACACGTTGAAGACCTCTGAAGTCGTAAAATCAACCGTTGAATTCGATTAGAAACACGCGTGGAACAGAGAATTGTCCATTGGTTGACGGAAATCGCGAAATACCCTCGGCGTTGCGAGCGGTATTGGACGAGTTAATGGATTTACGGAAGATTGTTCCCTCGACACGTGTGAGATACACCAAGGTATATACCTATCCAAGGCAGACGCGCGACGTTTAAAACATTAACGGGTCAATGGCGCGGCGAAACGACGCTGCACCGTAAACACATTCGTATTCTTGGACAGGGTTTTCGGAGGTCGGTTACCGCGCGTGGCCAATTAACGTCGAAATAAAATCCGCTCGTGCGCCATTCCAAAGAGTTTTATTATCATGCGCGGGGCCATTCGACAGGAAGTTTCTTTGCCTCTTGAATCATTTCGATCGTTAACGAAATCGTCCTCTTCTTTCGTTTCTTCGTTTCGTCGCGAGAATAATATTATTCCTGATCACGATCACGCGAGCAGTCCAAGGATTTTCTTTCTTTTCTCGATTTTGAACTTTGCTCGAGAGAGAGAGAGAGAGAGAGAGAGAGAGTGGAGAAATTGTTGGCAAGTACTTTCGGGGCACCCGGTGTGTGGCTAGACGCAGAGTTCCAGTCCGCAGACTCCTACTCGCTGTCAGTGAAAACCGCATCGATAGGATAGTCGGTGCAATGGAACGCGAGGGAAATGAGAAAAGTCGGGCACCGATGAAAGTGAGAGGACACCGGCTACAGGCCGTTTCAACCTTCTCGTTTCCTTTCGTTTCCGTACGAGGAGAAAGGATCTCTATCCGTTTCCTTCTTTTCTTTGTCCTTCTGCTTGTTGAAAATTCAATCGTATCTACCTGCGATCGCTTTCTAAATAATATCGAGGAATTCCGCTATTGTTCCATAGAAAGTTCACTTTTACTCGAAATTTACAATTTACAATTCGAGGGAATGACGATTTTTTCTTTCTTTCTTTCTTTCTTTCTTTCTTTCTTTTTTTTTTTAATAAATATATATATATATGTATATATATTTTTCTCGTAAAACTTGGCGTAAGATTTGAAAAAGATGGCGAGGAATTTCATTACCCGTGGAACACAATGCTAATCGCGATTTCGCAGAGACACAACGGACGACCGGAGAGACCGTTGTTATAAATAATACCGTGACGTACGTAACTTAGTTATTCAAAAATACAAAGTGCATCTCGAAAGCGTTTCGAACGGATGATAAATAGCGACCGCGAGTTTGACGATTTATTCCTGGACACTTTGCTATCTCTCTCTCTCTTTCTCTCTGTCTATCTCTGTCTCTCTCTCTCTCTCTCTCTCTCTCTCTCTCTCTCTCTCTCTCTCTCTCTCTCTTTCTCTTCCCTCCCCCCTCCCTCGACGATCGCCGTAGAGATGGTTACGCAAACGCGTAACCGACCTTTAAAAAACGGATAACAACGGATAAAAATCGGATGGAAAAAAAAGAAGAAACTCATCGCCACCTTCGATACGAAATTCCTCGAAATCCATCGCGTATAATCGTGTCATCGGCATCGGTATTAAATCTTGGAGAAAAAAAAATTAATCATTCGACCAAGGCGTAAAAAACCAAGAATGTTATTTATTTAATTTATTCCCTCGTCGAAATCCGGCCGGCGAGGATGCTACTTCGTCAAAGATACTCGATACGATATTCATCATCGGCTACGTTTGAACTGATCGAACAATTTTTTTCTCTCCTTTTTTTCGCAGGTTGACCGTTCGAATGGAAGTCGTTTGAGCGGTCGAGAGGATCCTCCCACGAGGAAGAATCCCGGTTTGAGAGTGAAGAGAGCTGCGAGGAGAGAGAGAGAGAGAGAGAGAGAGAAGACGAGAGGAACACAGGGTAGCGGATCGGTAATAAACGAGATACAATGGCGGGCGAAGACACGCAAATCCTTGCGAACGGGAACGTGGAGGCGCTCACGATAATTCCACCGAAAATGGCGAACGGGAACGGGCTGATCTGCGGGAAGCAGCACAACAACAATGGATCGATACCTAATGGAAAGTTGCACGAAATAACAGCGGCGGAAAACGGGAAATTGATCATGTCCGACGAGAAGTCGAGCAGCCTTCACACGGAGTTCGACGATGCCGATGTGTCCTGCGGCTGGGGCCCGTGCAGGCCACACTGGCTTCAATACTTCGCCACGAAGCAGGCCTTCCTGGTCACCTTCTGCATCACCTGGGTTGGTTTTGGGTTAGGTTTTGGTTAGCTTTTGGATCAACTTTTCGCTTCGATCGAGATCTAATCTAATTCTCGAGGGAGAAGAGTGGATCTCCAGCCTTGTGTCGCTGCCGAGTATTCCCCAATCTTTCGAACGAATCGCGAATATGTAAACACTTATTCCCTATAAGATAAAATAAAAAAGAGACAAATCTCGAGAAAAGATTGGAAAACACGGAACTTTTAGATTATATTATCTCTATTATCTTTCCCTATTTTTGATAACGAGTCGTTGATCAAAATTTTTTCGTTAGTTAGTTTATTCATAACGTATAGCGACTAATAATAAGCGTAGCGATATTAAATTTTATATATCGTTGAGATCGCTGATTTCTGTATCGTGATTTCCACAGGTTCTTCAGGGAATGTACTACACGTACTTCGTCTCGGTGATCACGACGATCGAGAAGCTGTTCCAGATACAGTCGAAGACCACCGGTATTATAATGTCAGCGACGGAGATCGGGCAGATCGGTTCCTCTCTCCTGCTTACGTATTACGGGGGCCAAGGTCACCGGCCTAAGTGGATCGCTTGGGGCATGATCCTGTTCGCGGTGAGCTCGTTCACCTGCTCGATGCCCCATTTCATCTTCGGTGAACAGCTGATCCATCAGAACGAGATGTTTCTCAGCGGGGTCGAGGGTGGTGACCCGAACAACACCCATCCCATTCCTGCCAACCTCTGCAAATTGCAGGAACGATCGGAAAATTCTACGCTCGGAAGGTAAACGTAGTAAATCTCTTTTTTTTTCCACATTTGTCGATTATCGTTCGTTCGTGTATTTTTTTTTTTTTTTTTTTTTAAACTCTCCGCATTTCCCTCTCCTCTCGAAATTGTGTTGCAATTTCTGCTTATCTCTATCTTTACCTGCCTCCTCCACGATGTATCGATCGTACCTTTTTCTTTTTTTTTAAATGGGTTAGGTCTCTCCGTCTATAAATATAATAATAAAAAAAAAAAAAAAAAA